AGGGTGAGATTTTGACTTCTTTAGTTTGCCTCTTTTTGTGATAGTTGTAGGCTAGTCTTTAGCATATGAGACAAGTCTATATATTTTTTGTCTACCTTTGTAATTTGTATTTTTTTGTAGTAGCTTTGTACATGTGATTACTAGTTTTTTTTTTTGATCTCTTTCGATTGTCTGTATTGTCTTATTTTCTTATATATTTTCTGCCATCTCCTTGAATCATATAATGCATGTATTATTAATTGTTGTGTCTTCCATGTATTCATGTTACTTGTTCTAGGTACAAATAGGATTACCTAGTGCGAATTATAGTATATATCATCTTGACTCGAGTTTTTGAGTCCTGACAAGGGATCGAAGACTTTATACACACACCCTCCCAAAAACATAGGAATTACATTAAGTATATTATTATCATATGAAAAAAAGAATTGGGTAGGTATGGTGGAAGGTAAAAAGAATTGGGTAGGTATGGTGGAAGGTGGGGTATTTTAAAAGTTACATGGTATTCTCTAAAATTAAATTTGAAAGAATGAATTTTTAACTTATTAAAATTAATTTGTTAAATAAAAGGGCATATATAAGCCACTTTTAAACGGGGAGTATATCGCTGCAAAACATAAAGTTTGGGGGTATATTAGGACTTCTATCCATTTCCAAATATGTGAATGAATTTTGGAGAGTACTTAAAGTCCAGTCAATGAATAATATAATTAACAGAGAAGCTATGATTAACATGGTATCATGAAGGTGAAGGTGTCACTGAAGAATTAAATTAGACACCAATGATATAAGGACAATATATATTTCTATTGTGGTGGTATCATTGCGGACCAAAGCAAACTCTAATTATACCATGACAAGATATATATATCATATGTTATTATAAGTTGGGAAATTCCAAGTTGGATCAACATTTTGCCCGTCAACTAAATCAAAACAAATTAATTTGTTTTTTAAATACTAATATTTTATTACAAAATGGTAGAATGTAAAATTCAACAACTACACTTTATTTTTATAGTTATGACATTATAATTATAATTAAATATATTAAATTTAATTAGAAAAATCTATAAAACTCTTCGAATTTTGTGATTCTTTGAATTTTGAAATTAAATAAATTTATCTATCATGAAACAATACTGTATGAAACTCTTTAAGTTTGTGATTCTTTGAGTTTATAAACTAAAATAAATATATCTATCATGATTTAGTGTGCCCCATTAAAAAATTTTGGTAGGCGAACAGTCAATCAAATATCATTATAAATACCATTTAATCACTTCCTAGGTCATCACATTCTTTTCTTTTGTATCATATAGTATTCCCTTTTCTCCTTCCTAAATTATGATATAAATACATGTCGTCAAGAAGCTAACTAATGAAAAAAACAAATAGCTTCATTCTGAAGTTAAAAGAGAAGCTTTCTTACAATATAGTTCAAAAATTAAACTTAACAGTATAAGATATGATTTATATTTCTTTACATATTTTTAATGTTAAGTACTGATTTTAAGTTTTTCTTTTTTTCATTTTGGATTTAAAGGTATGGTTGTCAAAAATGGATTTGGTATGCAATCCATATCTTTATGTAATTATGTACTTGCATTGTTATGAAAAAAGATTTCTTCCTTTTTATGTTATTATGCTTTTAGGTGTTGTTTATTTGACAAAACTTCTATTAATATATGATGGATTAGATAATACTTGAGCAGTTTATGCAAAATATGTTTTTATTTCAATAGAAGTAATTTAAATAAATTCATAATAGTGATGCTAGAGGAAATAATTATTTTAATATAACTCATACTATATATGTATATTGCTGGTATGGGGCATGAGATACTAATGAACTGGTTGATTTTAGAACAAATAGGCCTAGCATACCTTATCTCTTCTCATACATAACAAATTGCTCTCTTTCTACACATTCTTGATAAATTTACAACTTCCTTAGATATCAAAAACATAGATGTCATCAAGTGTTTGCTCATCAACTTCCATTTCTAAGTTCATCTTAGATCAACCTTATCTTCATATGTAGAAACCAAATGTACCACCATGAAAGACCTCAAAAAAGATTCATGCTCACCTCATATAAAGTGGTCTAGTCAAGGACAAAATAGCATCTAGCCGCGTCCTTGCCTTTTCAGCCAAGTCTCCCCCTAATGGTGACTTCAATTATGTACACTTGGTTTTCGTTCACATAGAAAATTCATCTCTTTTAAGTTGGAATAATATCATTAGAGGTTTCTCAGAGAGTTCAATTCCACAGTATGCAATTCATATTTTCATTGAAATGTTAAAAAATTCACAAGTACAACCACACTTGCTTACTTATCCTTCAGCGTATGCTCGAGGTGGTCTTGCGATAAATGGAGCTCAAATTCATGGGAGAATCATCAAACTAGTCCTAGAATTTGACACATTCATATGAAATACGTTGTATATGTATTTAAGTTGTTGTTTTTTGGTTGAAGCAAGGGAATTGTTTAATGAGGATGAGATTGAAGATGTTGTTTCTTGGAATTTCATGATCATTGTCCTAGATAAAGAGAGATAAATAGATAATTCTTAGCGGTTGTTTAGTAAAATACCAACTAGAAATGATGCTTCTTGGAATAGTATAATAAGTGGTTTTGTTAGAAATGAGAAGTGGAATGAAGCATTGGAACTATTTAGCACAATGCAAGAGGAAAATATTAAGCCTAGTGAATTCACTTTGGTGAGCTTGTTGAATGCTTGTGGACACTCAGGAGCACTTGAACCAGGGAATTGAATTTACAAGTATGTTAGGAAGAACAATGTGGAGTTGAGTGTGTTGCAAGTGTGTAAACGTTGAAATGGTGTGGCATGTTTTTGTAAGTGTCTCAAATAAAGGGTTTTCTTCTTGGAACTCTACGATTTTGGTCTTAGATACTAATGGATTTGAGGATGACGCGATTAAGCTATTCACGAGTCTACAATGCTCAATTCTGAAACCGGATTCTGATAGTTTCATCGTTGTAGTAACCGCGTGCAATCACTCACGATTGGTAGATAAAGAGAAATACTATTTTCAAATAATGAAAATGAAATATGGTATTTAACAATCAATAAAAGCACCATGTTTGTATGGTCAATATTATTGGTCGAGCAGGACTAGTTGAAGAAGCATAAGAGGTTATAAGAAGTATTAAAATGGAACCTTGATGTTGTCATATGGGGTTCTTTGTTATCAGCTTGTAGGAGCCATATGGACATGCAGTTGGCCAGATGGTCAGCTGAGAATTTTCTTGAGTTGTATCCGAATGAAAGCAGTGGCTATGTATTGATGGCAAATATGTATGCAACCTCCAGCTTGTTTGAAAAAAATATGGATGAAAGGATCTCAATGGAAGAGAAACATATAGTGAAAGAATCGGGATGCAGTTCATTAGAAATTAATGGTGAAGTTCATGAGTTTGCTTCTGGTAGAAAGTTATATTCTGAGTTCATGATATATATGTTTTAATGCACTAAACAGAATTAGGAATTTATTGTCTACTTAGAGCCATTGTACACAAAAACAATTTAATTTGTCAAACCTTTAATGAAATGTCAGCAGAACTAAGGGTGTGTTTGGTAGGAAGGAAAATGCTTTCCTTAATTTTTGAAGGGAAGTAATTTTCCTTAAATTTGAGGAAAATTAGTTGATTTGGAAAATATTTTATCCAACCAAACATGAGAATATTGAAAAATGTTTTCCTTCATACCAAGCACACCCTTAAGAGGCTGCAAATTTAGGAGTAATTTTAATGTCAATCAAAAAAATTTTGTAAACTTTGACCCCATTATATTATAAGCAACCCTAAAGGTCATTTTTGGTAATTTTTAGAAAATTACCATTTTATCCCTCTCAGTAGTTGCCTCAAGTCATATTTGATCATTTTACAAAGTTGATTGAAATGTTGGGACCTTTGAAAGTTCGCTAAAAATGGGTTTTCGTAAGAACCGGAGCTACGAGTCTGGGCAGTTGGTTTACAATGTCATATTTCACCAATTAACCTCATTGGTTCTATAGTTACCTTCAAGTATATATAATCGATCACTATGTTGGGAATTTGAGCAACATTTGGATAGTATTCCCCCTTGTAAAATTCTAGTAGCGATGTGAGCAATGGGCAGTAGTAAATAGTAAGTTTGGAGAAGGAAGAGGGGAGTGCTGATTCGGAAAGTAATTGGAGCTTAGGACAATCATAGATGGTCAACTAAAAGAGAGAGGAGGGCAGTGCTGGTTCGGAAAGTTATTGGATATTAGGGCACTTCCATATGTCTAGTTGTTGAAGTGAAGTAAATGCCAAAGATGTAGTGAATGGAGCTCATCATGGTAACTTAAATTTAGCTCAGAAAGAGAAGAGAGAAGCCACCCCTCTTCCAACATTGACTGAATTTGACGTAAACAAGCATTATGTACATATTGAAGAGAGGTGAGGCTTTTGAGATCTTAGATGCTTAATGTTTTCACATTGTGTATGCTGTCATGTAATAGAGAGAGGTAACTCCCAATGGAAATGCTTAATCTCTTGGTCACTACCATAATTTTTTATATTTAACTCTATGAGTCTCGATAAAAGCCACTTTTTTCATCCATTCATCATTTTCATGCAATGACTGATCACAAGTTGTTCTAAATTGAAGGGCACTCCTCCTTCGGGAAAGGACTCTATTTCTCCAACAATCCCACAGTTGTAGTGTCTTAAAAGATGAAAGGAGTTCCTGCATACGTCCTGGCAGCCACTTCAGCTTAAAACAGTCCCAAATATTCAAATACGTTATTTGGGTCCCCCCACATGGCACCAAAAGTTTTTCAAGATTCCGACACCTCATCAAATTGACTATTTCAGTTGCAGTAGGAATCATAAACCTAGTAAGGTTGGGGCAATAGGAAGCTCTTTCGTGATCTTGGGAGAAACTCAGGTGATATATCATCACATTCTTGCAGACTCAATTCCTCCAGAAACATATTACAATAACTCATCTCACCAACTGGCTGCTCCAATTTCAATTTCTGGCAACAAGATATTTGTATTGTCTTCAAGGTAATTGGCGAAATGCTAAAAAGTAAGGAGGTAAGAGAGTTACAATTACTAATATCTAATTAAACAATATGCTTTATTCCCTCAAGTTGGGACATATCCAAATTAAGTACACGACATCTTGAAATTATCAATTCTGTTAGAGAAGTAAGATTTTCAAGCAACTTCCATATCAACTTCGGACAATTTTGAATTGAAAGCTTCTCAAGTGCAAGCAACTCTCCATTTCCTAGTACATGACATTGCTTCCACTTTGGCATATCTTCAAATTCAAGCTTCTCAAGAGAGTTAAAAGACTTTTTGGAGGTGGAACTACCATAGAATTCTTCCGTCACCTCTGTTATTCCATGCATCCCTCTAACGTAAAGGAATTTCAGTCAAGGGAGTAGTACTAGTGGGGGCAAGGAATAACAGTCCTTGCAGTGTCTAAGAGACAATTCTACTAGCTTAAGAAATGAAGGATCAGCTAACCAATTTGGAAAATTTATCCCTCTATATCCTCTAATTTCGACTGCTTTTGTGTTTGTGTGTGGGCATATCGCATCAACTATATCTCTTTTGATTTCTGAATTGTCAGGAGTACTGCTTCTACTCCACTCCAAAGATAACTTGTCAACATTATTCATCTCCCTCATCTTTGCGCACAACTTCCCTTCTATCAACCACATTTCTTAACTCTAGAATTGATAGAGATCCATACAAGTTATGTAATTCACCAAAATCTTCCATGCTCAAAATCGATAATCTTTGGGATATATTGCACAATAAGTAAAACATTGCTTCAAATATAAAAGAAAATCATTGTAACTCAACATCAACTCTGGTAATATACCATTCAAACAATTTGGAATCTCCCAAATTTTTCTTCTTAAAATGTCTCTCCACTCATCTACCTCTGATTTGTAGCGTAAAATACCAGCAAGTGTCTTTAGAGCTAAAGGCAATCCTTTACACTTGTGTGCAATTTTTCGTCCAATCTTTTCACATTCTGGATGTTCCTCCAGATCCCCGTTTTCTATTGAATGTCGTTTGAATAAAGCCCAAGAGACTTCACTAGATAGAGTTCCCACATTGATTGCTCCACCACCCATCATCAAGGCAACATTCTCCTTATGTGTAGTTACAATGATCTTACTTCCCAAATCTCCTTGTACAAAAAAATTTCTCAAGTCATCCCACTCGTTATAGTTATCATTCCATACATCATCAAGGACAACAAGAAACTTTTTTGCCTTCAAGCTTTCCTTCATTTGACTTGTAGCTGATTAAGATTGTAATCAACATTTAAGCCAATTTCTTGAAGTAACCCTTTTTTTATTCTGAAAACATAATATGCCTCAGAAAAAAAAACCAAGCTTTGAAATCAAAATGGCCTTTCACCTTCTCATCATTGTAAACGGCTTTCGCAAGTGTTGTCTTACCTACGCCGTCAATTCCAACAAATGAACTACAACCAGATTTTTACCATTTGATTCTTCTTACAATAAACGCACAATCAAATGCTCTATTTCCTTGTACCTACCAAAGATATCAGAATCATCAATCAAATAAGTTGAAGGTGTTCTAGTTTCTAGTTTTGTCAAACCAAATTGCTCCTTTAAGTCAAGGTCACCAATTTTCTATTGCAAATCCTTCAATGTGTCAATAGTGTCTTACAACTTGTCCTTTATGTTCATGAAAAAATCATTACTTGTTCCATTAAGTTTTTAGCGTCGTCGACAGCATGTCGAAACTTATCAAGCAAGTGGCTAACATATTGATTTGATGTCTGCTTATTCTCTGCATTACTAAGCACAACTTGAAGACCAAGAAAAGTCATTCTCAGCTTCTTTGAGATCCGACATCATTCTTATGCTTCTGGCACATCTTGAGTAGCTCACCATGAGGTGCAAGCCTATCAAAGAGAACATTCAAAGATAAAGAGATAAATGCACCACCAACCTCCATTTCTCAAATCTGCAAATCAATACACAGAAACACAAAAGACCACTGATTTCTCTCTTTTGCTAGTTGTTACATTCCATTGTACAAATTAGTATCTATTCATTACCTACGGGTTGTGAATAGAGATGGAACCACACGTTTATGTTAGGATGTATGTGCATCCGTTTAACTATGAAAATGAATTATTAGAAAAAAGACTGGCCAATTTTTCCTATATTTTGATTAGTGATTATTAAACATTCTCAATTACTTTTTCACTAACCCAATTATCAATATAGAGAACAGAACACATGATTGCACAACTTGATTTACGTTTGACGTTTCACTCAACATGAAGACAAAAACTTTTAATTTCTCAATTCAATAATCATATATTATTATGAGTGGAAGCATCAAAGTACAATGTCAAATTACCATTTTACTCTTATATTTAATAAAAATATAAAATTAACACAATATTAAATAATTATCATATCATATTGTACTTAAAATATATATTTTTACATGAAATAAATACATTTAAAAGATAATTACTCATTATTTATATTCTAAAGAAACTGTTGACTCTTTACATTCCCCACTATGATCCTTGTTTTTTCATTTCATATATGTATTTCTTCTTGTTTTTATATTCTATTTTATTATGAGTTTGATAGAGAGAATTGAAACATTTTTCTTTCGGATGCTACATTTTGCATGTTATTTTAAGTTATTTTTTATTTGTTTCTTACTTCTTACTTATAATATAGTTTATGATGTTTGACTGATGTTTAAGATTTTAATCTTTGATGTAAAATAAAATTTGTAATTTTGTTTCAATAGCTTATGAGATGATTTTTTTTGTCATAGGGAAAAGCAATTGATGAGATGCTTCAGTGTCGATCTCATAGAATTGTACTTTGAGTTGTGCTAATACAAATGGGGTAAGTCACATTTCGTTCTGACATGAATTTTTTGTTAGCGCGATTCTTTGTCTGTGTTTTTTTTACTATAATAATAATAATAATAATAATAATAATAATAATAATAATTATTATTATTATTATTATTATTATTATTATATTTTGTCAATAGTAGGTCAAATTTATTGAATTTTCATATCAGATTCATGTGAGTTATTTGTGTATAAAGCTAATTAAGTATTGAATTTTGATAACAATCATCATAAACCAATAAAAGTAAAAAATGTATTTATGAGCTTTGACATGTTGAGTGATGTTATATTTATTACTTATTCAGCTTTACTTTCTTTGTTTGAATTTAATTTTTTTAATGGAGTTTTCATCCAAAAGAAATAAGGGAGGATAACAACCCATGTTAAGAAACAAAGAAATGAATACAATATCATATTTTGGTTATTTTAATCATGAAATAATATTAACTTTCTTTGCTTTAATTTAGTTGATTATTTTAGTTATTTGATCCATAATTTATCCTTTCCTTTCTCATTCAGAATTTATATGACTCATACTCAAATGTCATAATTTATTTTTATCATGTCTTTTTATTTTTCAAGTATGACACTGATGATACAATTCCACAAAATATAAAAGAAATGTTTAATTCCTTTTCTAACAAAAATAAATTATAACTGCAATAAAATATAAAATGAAGTTTGTTTAGAAATGTAATATTGATTGTGGTGGTAGGACAATGATTAATCGATGATATGAGTGATTAAGTTTGTAACCTATGAATTAATTAACTTGATTATTTTTTAATCAAAACATATTATCTATATAACAACTATTAAAATTTGACAAATTCAAATCAAATTTTAACTCATAAACTAACATTAAAGTCAATTTAGTACTAATTAAGAATCTTCAAGACTACACTTTAGTTATTGGATGTCGTTGATTTATGAATATATTTATTATATATTGATGCAATTTTTAAAAATATTTATGCTCACTGGAAAGGGTACATGCGCAACGTGTGTGTCCAACTACTAGTTATAGAAACAAAGCAAAGGTGGGTGTAAAAGGGCCCCCCAAGTGGATAACTCAAAAATAAAGGAGTAAGTTTCTACACAACTTATTTTATTTGTTACAATGCAAAATGGGACTACCATATCATGAATATATTAAAGTAAGGTAAATTTTGTTTTCATATAAGCCAAAAAAGTGTATGAAGTTACAAAAAATGAATTAATGTTAGTAATAATATCTTAGTTTAGTTAAAATGTGTCTCTGATATCAGTCATAGTCTAGAGGATACTTGCGCCTTATCCAAAATAAATATGTTAGAACTTATATACTTCTTCAGTCTAGATTTAAGTGTTTCGCTTTTATTTTTTTTATATGTCTCAAAAATAGTATTTCTTTCTATATGTTTATTTACTTTACAATTCCTATATTCTATCTTGTATGTTTAAGACTAAAAAATTTTAAAATTGCACATATCTTTAGTTTAACCATATATTTCAAAAGTCTCTTCTTATTTATTAAACTTTGTACTCAAGCAAACTAGAACACTCAAACTGAGCAGAGTTAGTACATCCATGTGCTCTATTCTATATATTAATTAGTACTTTATTGTAGTGTAATTGAAAAGGATTAAAGCATGGTACAAAGACAACACAAGTTGTGCCAAAAGAAAATGATAAAATTCAATTGTCATCAATCAACTTATCCAATCAAATCTAATAAAAATCAATGGGAAGTAGGGATGACAATGAAACAATGTGGTTAGGACAATCTTTTAGCAAATATATGTGGATCGGTTGAGTTATAGAATTGCTAAGTTTTAATTACACCATCCCATTTTAATTATAATCATTTTTTCTCATTTGTCTCCATACTTTGCAGTGGTAGAGCAAAAATTTTGATCAAATTATTTATATATATATATGTGCTGAAAAAATATTTTTAATATACTGATAAAAATGAACGAAAGGAGTATAAAATCCAGTATTAATTCAAACTATAATATTTAGCCGGCAGTTTTTAATTATTGAATGGAAACTGAGTAAAGATAAACAAGAGAACTAATTATCAATTATACATAATTAATATATATATATATATATATATATATATATATATATATATATATATATATATATATATATATATGTATGTATGTATGTATGTATTTATGCTGAAAAAATATTTTTAATATAATGATAAAAATGAACGAAAGGAGTATAAAATCCATTATTAATTCAAACTATAATATTTAGCCGGCAGTTTTTAATTATTGAATGGAAACTGAGTAAAGATAAACAAGAGAACTAATTAATCAATTATACATAATTACTATCATAGTATAGTTTATTAGGAACAAGAATATTAATTGAGTGATCAAAGTTCAAATAACATTTGCAAATCCACTTGATACACACACAAAAATATTATTTTTCACATTTTGAAAATGCATATTTTTAATCATAACAAGAGTCATTTTGGCTATAGGTGAGAATGTACATATATAATCTATACTACAAGCCTATATAGTATACTAGTCTTTGCACACGTGCAACACACATGTTTCATGTGAATTTTTATAGATTCGTTAAAAAATTAGAATTTTATGCAAATCATGTGAAGTGAGTAATATTTTTTAATGTGCGTCAAGAAAAAACAAATTAGAGGCACATTGTAATGTTTAAAATCAATTACTCTTAAGCTACCATCAGTATGTCAATTGTGTTTACGCTATCATCAATAATTTTGTATCTACTTCTAAT